GGGCTCTACCACGATCAAATAATGCCTGGATCCCCAGTCAGTTCAGAGACTGTGGAATGAAGCTGAATTTCTAATCTGTTTATAGCCAACCAAGCCATATTCAAGTTCCCCATGGAATAAGGAGAGCTGAGCTGACTCTGAGCCAGGGGCCTGGGCTGGCAGACGCTGGTGTAGCTGTTACCTGTTCCACTCAGCCTTATGTTGGGAACATCTTTCCTTGCCAGTAGATCTAGGGTACAACGTTCAGTGACTGAACCATACGCCATTGTATGGATGTGCCATAAGTTATTTACCAAATCATATTTGCAGACATTTAAGTTGTTTTCAGATTTTAATAGTTATAAACAACCTGTGCGCACTTTATTAATTACGTTTTCAAGATGAATAACTAGGAGGGGAATTACTAACAGAAGGACAATACTTTTAAAGTTTTGGGTATGCACTGCCAAATATGAAAAGGTCTCTACATTTATCTTTCTTGGGGGGAGGCCAACTGTGTTAGAGCACCTCGGGGTTCCCCCCAACCCCACCCCATCATTTTCAGCAGAACTCAGCATTCTTTTTCAGTTTTTGCCCATCTGATTCATTTGTCTTTAAATCTCTTTTTGTTTGGAATCAATGAAATTTTTTTTTTTTAATTCTCACCCAAGGACTTTTTCATTGCTTTTAGAGAGAAAGGAAGGGAGCGAGGTAGTAGGAGAGAGAGAGACATCAGTTCAAGAGAGGAGCATCGATTGGGTTGCCTTCTGTATGCACCTGGACTGGGGACTGAACCTGCAACCTAGGCATGTGCCCTGACTGGGAATCAAACCCACAACCCTTCAGTTGTGGGATGATGCTCCAACCAACTGAGCCACACCGGCCAGGACTTGTGGAAGGATTCTTAAGGGGAAAAGGGGGGTTTTGAAGGGTGGGCTGCCTCAAGGCAGGTGTGGTGTCAGGAGACAGAGGGAGAGATGGGGGTGGCCATGGTCCCAGGACTGGACCGAATGCAGGAGGGACAAGGACACTTTTGGTGCCGACCACTCCCCCCCCAGCTTGGGAGTCTGAGTCGGGTCTGTTGCGGTGCACACCTCCCTGCCTGGCTCACTTCCAACCCCGCAGCATGGGCCTGGGGGTGGGGTTTGGCCTTCCTGCCCCACTGATGCCGGCCCCGGGTGGAGCGCAGCCTCAGGCCGCCTGCCCTCTGAGTCTGAAGTTCGTGGAGAAGCTGCCTGCGAACGAGGGGCCCGAGCTGGGGCACTTGCTGTCTCCTCTGGGGCGTGAGTGGCCAGCAAAAGGAGGCCAGACCTTGCCCTCGGAAGCTGCTCTGCCACCCCCGAAATCGGGCCAGTCCTGACCCGAGCAAGGCTGGCGGCGCCCCCGGAGGCTGCACACTGGGGTTTTGTCCGAGTCACATGACGACAGCCCAGGTTTGCTTTTTCCCTCTGTGTTGCTTCTAATACATGAAATGAGCATGTGTTTATTTAATACAGCTTTCAAACTTAAACAAATAATGACAGACTGTTCAAACAGACTTCGGAAATCGCCCTAATCAGGATGTTTGAAAAAGCAAGAAGACTGTATGGAAGTCGCTGTTAGCTGACTTTCAGTCCTGAAACCAGGGGCCTACTTGGCGCTTTGGAACGTAGACAGGAAAAGCTCAGAGGCCGGACTGACCTCAGGGCGGGTCACGACGCCCCTCAGCCCTGCAACCTGACTTACCGATTGATGAGGAAGTATAGATGGGCATTGTATTTTCACTTCCTGTCTTCCACTGAGGGCATCATGTGTGCATTTTCATCGGCAATTTCTATAGAAATCACCCAGCATTTTGAGAGGGAGCTAGTAAAGTGCTCCTGTCGAAGCCCGCCCTGCCCTTGGTGGGCCCTCCAGACGGAAGGGCAGCGGGTTTGCAAGAGGGCAGACGCGAGAACAAGTTAATATTTCCACTAGTTCAACGTCCTGGGCCACGTTGACAAATGGCTTTGAGTCACCCACATTAATCGTCACAATAACCAATTTTATGGGCGAAATAAATGAGGCTCAGGGTTGGGTAATTTGTTCAAGGTCATAAGCAATAAAATGTCAAAGCCAGGATTTCACCCAGACCTTCTCCCCAAGTCCAGAGCGGTTCCCAGGGGCCAGCGAGCTGCGTCAGCACCTCTGTGCTCAGCCTCTGGGTCAAAAGAGGCTGTATTAGCTCATCCCACCCGAGCTCGGATGTTTTCTTTATGATGCACATCAGCAATGGCCCATTGGAAGCACAGTATTCGTGCGAGACGATGGGGTTTGGGGTAGGGGAGTATTCCAGCCCCAGAGAGGAAGGGGTATTTGGGCAGGTATTTCTCCTGCCGCCCTGGGAGGGTGCACCCAGCAGATGGGAAGGGAATACCAGCCTGTTTGTCCCTCTCTGCTACCTCCACGTTCCCAGGATGGCAACTTGTCCAAAAAGGTTAGATGGCCAGTGTCTTACTTAGTTCGTGTCCTGGTGAGCCACAGAAAACTCCATGGGCAAGTCAAGAAATGCAGGTTCAGCCACAGCCCTTCCTTCTCAATGTCAAGCTCAGGTGCACGCAGCCCCGTCTCAGTGCTCTGAGGGTGTCCTTTGCTGGGCTGTTGGGGGTCCCACCTGCCCCTCCTCAGAGAGAGCACCGTGGGGGGTGAGGGGCTCGCCGTCGTTCCCAGCCATGTCTCTGGGATCCGAGAATGCACTTCGCGGGAGGCAGTTTCTCTTGCCCCCAAACACGTGCTGACCTCTTCCCGCCCGTTTGTTGCTGAGTGTATACACGGAGGGTATGTTTCTCGACAGGCCACCGTGACTGCTACCTCAGCTTTGTGCTAAGAGCACGAAGCACACATTTCCCTTACGTCTGTTAGAGCCTGGCTTTGCTGAGGCTCACATTTGGAACATTTTAACAATAGATTAAAAAAAAAGAGAAGAAACCCCTTGCGCCCTCTCCTGGTACGAGTTAATCCAGTACATCTGAAGGGCCGGCTCTCCCGCTCGTTGGCTCGCCCGCTCATCTTGTGCTAATTTGACCAAAGCCGTTGACATGCTAGATAGACCATTGGGTCTTCTGTGGTCCGCGATCCCAGGGTTTCTTCCAAGTCTTTCTTCACAGGGTTCCTCAGCCGTGGTGCATTGGAATTTTGTGGTGGGGCTGTCCTGCACCCACGCCCCACCCCAAATCATGACTACAAAAAATATTTCCAAATACTGCCACACGCCCCCAGGGGGGACAGGCCCGCCCACAGTGAGAACCACTGCCGTGAACCCTTGCCTACCTTTTGTAAAAGATGTCACAGGCCCCAGAGCAACCAGGGAGAAGGTTGGGATGACTTCAGGGAGCCATTCTCATGGCTGGTCAAGTGAGTTCACTGCTAGGAATTTGTCTCAAAAAAAGAGAAAACCCACATCTGAGCAAGTGCCTAAAAATATATGTAAGAGATATATCACGATGCTGTGCATAATAGTAGAAGTTTAAAACAGTGCAAATGAAGAATTGGTTATATAAAGCGCGCGCGTGTGTGTGTGTGTGAAATACTATGCAGCCATGAAAAATAATTGTGTAGATCTGTATTTAATGATGTTGGAAGTTGCCCTAATGACACCTTAAACTCCCACCTCCCAGGCTACTCCAAGATTCCCAGAAGCAGTTGTATTTAGAACGAATAATTTCAGAACAGCTAGAGAAAGCAGCTGGGTGAAGCATTAGGCCAAACAGAATTCAAACCAGTTTCTGAATTCAGAAAACTTGCATCATTCATTGAAGAAACATTTATTAAGCATCTGTGTGTACCAAGACGTTGTACAGCAGTGGGGGACACAGAGATGATGCCAGGTCCCGTTACTGTAGTGCTTGCCCCGAACAGACGAAAACACCGTGAGGGCTGTCGGAACCGCAGCCGCACAGCGGTGCCAGAAGTCCCTGCGTGCTTACCGTCTCCCGTAAGGAAATCGTGTGCTCCAGCTCCAGGTTGTTGGAATGCTACATAAATCACACCATGTGAAAAAGCACTTCATTTACTGATTTATACATTTAGATAGATTTACAGAGTTGTCCAAATACTAATTGGGTCCAAATGTGGAAACTAATCTTCCCCAGCAAATCTAAGAAATGAGTATGCAATGGTTGGTTCGAGCTAAGACGACCCAGAGACCTTTGCGACGACACACTGGCGGCCTGGCTTCCAAGCGGCGATAAGAAGGAGAGATGGGAGCCATCTTCTCCCCCCAGGGGCCTGTGGGTCCATAAATGGCCACGTGCTTGTCCAGTTCACAGCTGGAGTTACGGTCATCCAGTCTAGCCCCCCTACCCCGCCCGCCCCAGGGGAAACCCTAGAGCTTCTTTTCCACGGACACCCTGTCCTTGATCTCAGAGGCAGGCACATCACCAGTGGGGGTCGGCCCCGCTATGTCCGCCACATCCGCGTCCAGGGCAGGCCAAAGACCGAGCATACACAGAGCTGCTGTGAGGGCATCAGGAGAGAGAAGGGCACTGCTTTGGAGCTGGGTTCAAATGCTGGCTCTACCGTTGAGTAGACAAATCCTTTAAGCTCAGTGAGTCTCAGATGTTTTTTCTTCTACAGAACAGGAATAAATAAAACGACTCCGTAAGATTGGTAAAAAGAATAAAGTAATGCCTCTAGCAGACACTCAATAAGAGGATGTAGTCATAGGTGTTGGTTTTGTATTACGCTTCAGAATGGCCATGCTCGCAAAAATTGCAAAGCCTCCCATATTTCTAACTTCCTTTGCTGTTTTAGTTTCCCCCTTCGCACTTACCACTCTCTAATACAGCGTATGATGCATTTGTTTTGTTTACTGTCCACCCCACTCGTCTAGGTAAAAGCTTCATGAGGCCAGGAACCTTCCATCTGTGTCAGTCACTGCTGTTCCTCTCCCGTGCCTGGCATGGGCCTAGGGGCTCAACAAATATTTCCTGAATGAAAGTGAACAGAGTGGGCCTGTGCTCTGCCTCTAACCATCTTTCTTTTCTGTCCCTCCTCCCCTGCAGGACGCCTTTGTGGAGCTGTACGGCCCCAACATGCGGCCTCTGTTTGACTTCTCCTGGCTGTCCCTGAAGGCGCTGCTCAGCCTGGCCCTGGTGGGAGCCTGCATCACCCTGGGGGCCTACCTGGGCCACAAGTGAAGTCGCCAGGCCCGCCCCAAACAGATATGCAACAGGTTCACTAAAGCAGTAGAAGCATACACATCGCTAGTGAGGGACCACGAAACCAAGCCGTGGTCTTTTAAAAACAAACAAGTAAATAAACAAACAAAAAACAACAAAAACAGCTTTCAGGCTCTAGATCGAATCAGCTATTTACTGCCAAAGGAAAATACCATTTATTTTTTACATTTTTTGAGGAAAAAAAAGATTTATTTATTTAAGACAGTCCATGGGATATCTTTGGAAACCCTACCTAATTGCCAAGCCCCTCTGGTGTGGCCCCACCTGGACCTCCTGGGCCTGGAAACGGATTCGCTTTCCCTGGCGTTGGCCAGGCTGACTCGCCATCTGAAGAGCAAACTGACCAAGGACCGGACGGTTCCAGAAGCCGGGCTTCTGGCGGCTGGAAGTTTGGAAGAAGGTGTTCGTTTGCGTCGCAGGGATGTGCCCGGGGCTGGGACGCTCAGAGAGGGAGGTGTTTAGAGGGAAGTGCTTTCTTTCCCGGCTGGAAGGACCTGTACTTTGCATACGGCTCACGTGGTACAGACCTGGTTGGAAGAAGGGGGAAAAAGTCGGAAACTTCAGATGGACCTGGTATCGGCCAAGACATCCACACCGAAGGACAGTGACAGGAAAAAAATGCCCTTAAACCATAGGAAAGTATTTTTTTAAACTACCAATTGTGCCGACAAGCATTTCAGCAATTTATACAATATCATCCAGTACCTTAAGCCCTGCTGTGTATATTCATATATTTTGGATACACTCCCCCTCCAAAAACTGGCCCTGTGTATGAAACAGAATCCTCTGGGACGCGAGGAAGTGAACGTCTCGGTGACTTCTGCGGCATCAGCAAGGCTGGGGCTCCCCAGAAGTGTCCGGCCGCCGCAAGTGCCTGCTTTTCCGCAAGAGGCCGAGGTTTGGAGTCCGGCCTGGCAGCCCGGAGGCCTCGTCCTGGAGCTGAGCCTGGGCACTCGCTGGCCTGCTCGAGGGATTTGAAGCAGAGCAGTGTGGCCTCCCAGCGCCGGGAAGCTGACGGAGCCCAGAACCCCTCTGTTAAGAAAGAACAGGAGGCTTGGGCCTGGTAGCCTGGGGCCCTCCCCAAAGGGCCCTTTTCCACGTGGAGCCTGGAAACCAACGCTCTTAAGACGTTTGTCACTGGGGAGAAGAAAGCCGAGGCGCTGCGCCTTGACTAGCAGAGGGAGGTGGCGAAGGTCGGGCGTGCGACCACAGAAAGGGATGCAAACAAAGAGAGGAGACGCCATGGCCTGGGGGGGTGTGCAGTGTGGCCGCGGCGCATGCGCGCTGGCTGCGCTGCCACCGCCTGGCTGTGCAGTTGGAAGCGAGGCTTTGAATGACTTTGGAGAGGGTCATAAATCCTGAAGGAGGCATTGAGATGATGTGTCATGGATTGATGGAGCTGTATCTATGGAATTACAATGTAAAACATTTTCTTGTCATTGCAGTTTGGTTTTGTTTGAAAACCTGACAGAGGGGAGGGGAAAAAAAAAGTTCCAGGTGTGGAATGTGAGGATTATCTGTACATCCTGGGCATTAAAAAAGAACAAAACAAAACAAAAAAAATAGTGATGGACAATTATAGAGAAGTAGCAAAAGAAGTCATCGTCAGCTAATAAACTAGGAAATATTTTTTCAAGTTTAGAAAATCTTGAGACACAAGGCATAACTGTGGCATTATTGCATTATATACAATTTATCTGTATTAACTTTGGAATGTACTATGTTCAATGTTTAATGCTATGGTTGGTATTTCGAAAGCTGCTTTAAAAAAATACGTACATCTCAGCATTTTTTAAAAAATTGTATTTAGTTATGGCCTCCACATTTAGAAACTGATTTTTTTTTCCATTTGAGATTATTGTCTTATAATTCTGTTGAAACATTTCTGAGAAGATGAGCTAAACCCTGGGTCTCAGCTCCCTGAGAAACCCTGGAGTGTGCTGGCCACCGAGGCTCTTTGTTTCTACCAAGTTCTGTGCACTTCTTGACAACACCGCTGTTTATTGTGAGGGACATACCTGTTTGTCTGTGTGCCCTTGTTCCTCGAGGGTTACTTGGTCCCTGGGCAAATCAGAATTTAACTCATCTTATTCAGGACTACATACATGTTTGGTTAAACCCACGAGGTTCATTCGGTTGGAAATCCAGATGGGAAGTGACCAGGGGAATCAATTCTGGCTGCGAGAGTTTCACCTTTCAAGAGTCGCCGCACATGCCTGTTTCCATCTAGACTTAGACTCCTCAGCCCTCCGGCCCTCCTCCCGCAGGGCCCCTGTCCCGGCAGTCCTTCAGGTTTTTCCTGAAATGCGGTGGCATTTCCGCCCCCCACGGAGAAAGCAGGAAACCCCATGGGACAAAGCCAGACCTCCCTGAGGGGCCTCAGGGAACAGGACGATCAGACCTTTGAACGCTTCTAATTTTTAAGAGAAATTATTATTTTGTGAAAGGTTTACATTGTCAAAAGTGATGGATATGGAATATCAAATCCTGTGCTGCTATTCTAGCAAGATCACCGAACAGAGTCCGTGTGCAGGACACTCCATGTGGCGACAGCCCCCACGCTGCTTTAGAAGTGACAATGAAGAGCATGGACGTTTTTAATATAGAGCCTATTTGTCTTTTATTGTTGTTATTGTTATTGTTCAAATTGGGATTTGCAAAACATTCAAAAATGTATATATATTAAAAACAGAAACTCGCAGGGGCTGACTTCTGGCTGGTTTCCTTTTGCTGTGGGGTTTGTTACCTGGTTTGAATGGTAAACGCGCCAGCCGCCCCCCCGCACCCCGCCCCGCCCCAGAGCTGTACAGTGTGGTGGCTGCGCTCGCTCGAAGAGTAGCTACGTTGCATTTTTCTTATTGTTAAAAACATGTTAGAAGCAATGAATGTATATAAAAGCCTCAACTAGACATTTTTTCCTCTCCTTTTTTTCATTGTCTCAATTGTTTTGTGACCCGACAACCATTCCGACTTCTGTCTGGTTGAGAAGGGAGTCACACCTGAAGGCGTGGTGCATATGTTGGCCAAGGTCAGGGTTAGATAGAACACATGCACTTTCCACACGGGGGTCAAGGGCTTTAAAAAGAACCACAAGGAGGAAATCACCTGGGAGCCCCCACACTCTTCCGAGCCTTCACTGCACAAGCACCCTGAACAAGAGATCCAAACAGCTGACATACCCTACAGCAAACAGTTCGTCTCAGTTTTTACATGGCTGCAAATTCTTGTCCATTTGAGATTTGGATTAAAGTCACACTTCGAATGAAGGAAGCACTTTTCAGTAGTTCATACAAACAAAGAAACATATTCTCCCTCAGCGCACATGTCCCTGCATATTCAGATATGGCCTGCCATTTGGATACGACTTTTAGTTCGTTAGTAAATATTTATTGCTTATCATTTAAAGACCTAGTCCTGGTCCAATGTGGGAAATTAAGAAGTGGTTATAAATCAAGAAGAATTATAATAATCAGGATTAAACATAAATAAGGTAGCCCCAACACATGTCTGCTTTCATAGTAAGGATTAACTGATTGAACAGAATTGCAAATAGCCTATCTTGTGAGTAAACTTATGCTAAAATGACTAATTTAGAAATGTGAACTTAAATTCTAATTTCAATTGTACTTTTAAGGCAGAGGCTGTTTTTATACTTTCTTATCACTTATAGTTAGTAATGTACACCTACTCTATCAGAAAGAAACAGGAAGGGCTTGAAATATAAGCCATTCTAAGGAAATTAGGGAGTCAGTTGAAATTCTATTCTGATCTTATTCTGTGGTGTCTTTTGCTGCCCAGACAAATGTGGTTGCACACTTTTTAAGAAATACAATTCTACATTGTCAGGCTTATGAAGGTTCCAACCAGATCTTTATTATTCTTCAGTTTGGATCTTCCAGGGATTTTTTTTTTTTTTAATGGGACAAAGGACATTTGTTGCAGGGGTGGGAGGGAGGAATTTTCCAATGAGTGAAACATTCCCAAGACTGGATCAGCACGTGGAGGCTTCAGAATGGCCAGGACTGTGGGGTATAAAATGGAAATAATTGTGACTTTTCCTAGGGGTCAGTGTCATTCCTCCATGAAGGACCTTATGCAACAAGTGAGAAACATTTTATTTCTTTTTCTTCACCTGAGGGTATGTTTATTGATTTGAGAGAGAGAGAAAAGGGGGGTGGGGAGAGGGAGAGAGAGACATCAATGTAAGAGAGAAACATTGATTAGTTGCCTCCTGTATGTACCCTGACTGGGGATTGAACCCACAACCTAGGTATGTGCCCTGACCGGGGATTGAACCTGGAAACTTGGTGTACAGGACGATGCTCCAACCAACTGAGCCACTCGGCCAGGGTGCAAGTAAGAAGCATTTAAAAGTTCTACAGTATGTTCAGAATGTAGAGACATTAGAAAGACTGAAAACCCAGCTCGGTAGGACAGTGCAGATGGACCGAAACTCTGAAACATTTGCCAGCCATGGTATATATTTCAAACCTGGATATGTCTAATGGCTACTTAAACAATAAATTTGCAGTTCTAACCAACAGGATATTTAGCAAAAGCCTTCTGGTTGGTAGGGACATCTGTTTCTAAATATCAAGCACAATACAGAAAGAAAATCAAAACAAAACAAAACAATGTGAAACTCAATTGGGTAAGTGATGATACAAGTCCCTTGTCCTTACCCAAAGAATCATCCTGTTCCATATCTGTGCTCATAGGACAGACCTTGAACAACCATGAAATATGCATCCCACTGGGCACAAAGAAACCCAGATGGAGTATGAAAGGGATTACACCGATTCATCGTGACGACCCCAGAAAAATAAAGCCAATATCCTATTGATGACAAGTTTGTCTTGTGTATCAGTGTAAGCCCAGCAGACAAAAACACTTTGCAAGACGGAAAGTCTTAATCAGAAGATTCTGGGACTGTTACTAAATATGACTGTGATGTAGATACTTAGTAATGCCATATACCTAAACCTTTTAGGGAATCTGCAATGGGCCTTCCAAGCTAGTTCGTTTTATTAAATTTTCCCTTCTGGGGTACCATTTGAAGGAATAATAGCCAATCAAGTTTCTTTCTGGGATGTATTGGTGGTTGTGTTTATTATACTGTCTTCTTAAGTTTTCACCAAGTTTTGCTTTTGTTTTGAGTTACTGGGATTATTTTTTGTTTGAAATAAAAATAAGTGTGTAAAAAGTGTTTTTGTATTGAAAGCTTTTGTTGTCAAGATTTCACTTTTACCTTCCATGGCTGTTTTTAAGATGAATACTTCTTAGAAGTGGCTGACATCCTCTAACATTTTACACACACACACACACACACACACACACACACAAATACATAGTAAGCATATTTTTTTTTATTGATTTTAGAGAAAGGAACATCTATTCATTGTTCCACTTATTTATGCCTTCGTTGGTTGATTATTGTATGTGCCCTAACCAGGGATCGAATATGCGACCTTGGCTTATGGGAACAATGCTCCAACCAACTGAGCTCCTGGCCAAGGTCCATAGTTAGCATATTTTAGATAGTTAAAACAGATTAAGTCTCTAGTTAGCCAGCATTGAATATAAGGCACTTTTTTGTGTGTCATCAAGAGAAAAGCGACATTGCCATTAAACTTTCCTTGCCTGTGCACTTAATATTGTGAAGAAAAAAAATACAGTGTGAGATACTGGTTGTGCCCTAGAATTGTTTATAATGTGGTCAAATGACTTTGCTCTGCCATTCATCGTCATTAAACTCACTTTAAAAAGCCTTCTTAACAAGCCAGTAGAAACTTCATGCTAATGAAGCCCCAGGGGACAGGCTACGGCTTGCCTTACAGGTGAAACCACCTTAAAGGAGGCCCTTCTGTTTCTTGGTCACTAAACCTCTTGGTCAGTGAGGTCCAAGATGGGCCAGCTGTGGGTCTACTCCCAGAGAGAGGTGCTGTTGCTTTTGGGTGTGTGTGTCCGCACCCAGTGCAGACCCAGCCTATACCTGCAGTCCGTAAGATGAACGATTGTATAAAAGGGGGAAAACAAGCTGAAAGTTCTGTTTTGAAGTGAGCATTTTAAGATACCAAAGCAGTTAGTTGCATTGGAGAAAAGAATAAAAATAAAAAACCGTAAGTAGCAAGGCTCCTGTGTTTCCCTCTTTGTACTGATACTCCCAGCATCAACCTTGCAAATCTCTTCCCTTCAACTCCCTTCTGAGTCAACTAGGAGGACTCAGACAGTGACATCCATCCGGCAGCATCTGTGGCTGCCAGCCCAGTACCCATGGCACCACCAGTGTTTACTACCTTGGAAGGTAGGCATTGGCTCCTCCTATTCTGTAGGAAAATACTGAGACTCATAGAAGTTAAGCAATATGCCTGAGATCGCAAATATGACAAGTTAACGGAGGCAGGATTTGAGCTGTGGCCCAGCGCATCCCCAGCCCACACTTCTTGTCTCAATCAGCAGTCTTCAAATGGCTGCACAGGGAGCCTTGGGGTACACCCTTTCCAAGGGACAATCAGGTGTCTGAGAGAATCCAAGCTCTCAACAAGAGCCTAGTGCACAAGTGCTAGAGAATCATGCCTTCTCTTACTTCATATATTTGAGTTTGGGTGAGCAACTATGCATCCATGGTAGATTTTGACCTCTTGATCTTGAAAGGTTATTCTAGGGTAAGTTCTTTTTTTAGTGCACATGTGTACTGTCCAACTTCAAGACTCTGGCCTTGTTCTGTTATCTCTGAAAAACAACTCAGTATCTTGTTAGAAATAGGAGGAGACCAGTTTAGACTGGTTCTGTGGTTATAGAAGGATTTACACTAAGGACATGAGCAAAACCTGCAAAGCAGAGCTTTTTAAAGAAATTCTTCCTTCCCCTTTATTTTCCATTGAGCCAATTTACCTTCACATTCCTAGGCATTGCCCTTGGGTATGAAAAACCCTCTGGTTGCCAAAAGGTCTGATTTGAATCCTTAGGAGGAGGAGCTAATCCTTTGGCAAACTGTTTTTTCAATTCCTTGCTTTCAACAAAGTTGGAAGAGTACCTAGTCAAGACAGCTGGTGGATATGTGTTTTTTTTAAATGTGGTTCCAGAATATAACTCAGAAGTCCAAAGGGTTGAGTAATATTACTATAACAAACTCCTTCCACCCCCGTGTACTTATTATGTGACCAACACTCCTCAGAGCTTATATCTTAAAAACAAAGAAAGCGAGAATAGGCTTGATGGTGAACCCTAGCTCTTTCTAGTAGTAGGTAAGTTATTATTCATGGATACACATCCTCCTTGGGGAGGTGGAAGAAACCAGCCCCATTCGTTTGGAGGTACATTTCCAAAAAAGTTAAAATTTATATTTAACAATTACTTATCAAAATTTGTAATGTATTTGTAGATTTTTGTCAATTGCGTACTAATAAAAATTTTAATAATTACTCAACCCAGAAACAAAAAAGTAAAACCTTATGGTCACAAACATTTATAGACTTAACTTTGGTTGTAGAAAATTATGAGATTAATTAGTTTTAAGCTTTCAGTTGTCAGAAATATCATATTAGGATAAAATGGAGGGTAGAAATATGAATTTGAGGGGAGAAAAGGAAAATGTAAAATGTCTAGGTGTCAAAAATAACTTGTCTTTATATTTTTCAGGTAGGTGACGCTGAATATCAAATCATTATGATATTTAGATTCCATCGTCTATAATTAAAAGTGATGTAGCAAATTTATTTGTAAGTGTCAATTGTTAAAATACCTTCTCAGACAAAGCTGATATTAGTCTGTGTACAAATCCTGTTCAAACTGGCCTCAGTTCAGCGATTCTCTCTTCGATCAGACATCTAGAGAGAAAATACATGGAGCCACACCGGAGAACGGCCCACGTCAGAGAGACGCGTTTTCAGACAGCCGAGAGGGGAGCCCTAACTTCTCAGGATTTCTTAATCCCACTAAAGCCTATCCGGTAATTACCCAAGCATTTTATCAGGAATTAGAATCACTGCATGGAAGGAGTTATCACTTACACCATTAAAAAAAATCTTACCCCTGACAGTTTGGGGACAATTTTCTCTTTCATATTATTAACAATGCATCGGAAATGAAATCCTTTGCAACTAATACATTTAAATTTTCAATGTTCAGTGCCAACTTAAACTTCCTTAGTGGCAACTTGTTGGAAGCCTCCTGCCCTCATTGTCTCAGCACCTCTCTGAACCTGACTGGAAGTTCCGAGGTGGGTGGGTGTGGGGGGGGGGTGGACGGGAAGGGGGAGGGGCAGAAGACACACTCCCTCCTCCAGGGCCTGGAGGCGGGTTTTTGTATTGAAATAAATCTTCCTGTCAGCACCAAGGAAGCAGGTAATTGGATAATAATAATTGTAATAATTACTCATTCCAGGACCAAAAAGAGTAAATAAATAAAACCTTGGGGCCACAAAAAATCATTTCAGTGCTTTTGTTATAAAAAAGTGTAAGAGGCTAATCAATTTTAACTGTATTCTCCTTGTTGCAAAATTTATGTTAAAATTCCCTTTTTCCTTCCTTTAGGTTTTACATTTAAAAACAAAACAAAACAAAACCCTGCAGCCCATTGCCCACCTTATCCTACCTGTCATTTGTCTCTCTGTGTGTCCTGGGTTGCATGCACCTATACCATCTTTAATCTATGCTGCTGAAATATCTGAGCCCACATCCATAACGAAAGGATGCCCCAAAGCAATGAGGCCCTTCTTCTCTTTTTTCACCCCTGGAGAAGAGCTCCCTGACTTGGCTTTAATTACAGACTCCCTTTAGCGTCTCTGACAGTTCCTCTGTGGGTCCAGAAGAGGGGTCGCTGAGAGTGACTTTCGAAAACTCTGTCAGGCCCAAGGCAAGTCAGCCTGCCACCATTTTTTGGATGTTGTTTGAAAACATGAGATTCGTGGGTCAGAGACAAAAGCTCATGCCAAAGGCAGCAGCCAGAGCATCAGCATTTTTGGAGCCAGGTCCCCAAGCCCCAGTTCCCACAGGACAACGTGAAGTGGACCTGCTGGCTTCTGCACACAAAGTGGGTTGTGATACAGGAGAGGAGTTCCGAGCTCAAGAGTTTTAAAAACTTGGATGTTTCATCACAAGCAGTAAGCATGTCTGCCCTTTGCTGTGGAGGAAGACACCATGTCTGCCTTCCAAGGCTGTAAGCAAATCTGGGCTTCGCTCTGGAGGGAGGCCCTATCTCCCTCTCCCAAAGTGGCTCACTATACATCATCCTTGGAAAGAGAGTCGGGAACCAAGAGCAGTCAGTGCCCTGATTGCAACATGAGCAGAAAAACGGGTGGCCCATGCAAACTGTCCCCCAGCAGTGGCATGGCACAGAACAAGCCCACCCCTGCTGCAGGTCAGGGATCTGAGGCAAAGACAGCAAAATATATTCCTGTAAGTTTTGCTCCTCACGGCTAAATGTTCTAGCCACAGCTCTCAGGCCTACACCACTGCACCATCCTAGGTCCTCTGTTTGGGCATACCCCATGTATCAACATCCCTCTAAAAGGGTTATGCCAAGTATGATTATGCTTTTTAGCTGACTTGATGCTGCTGATGATCAAAGGTAACCTTGAGTTGTCTCTTTTCAGCTACCAGCAATCCATGGGCAACTGGATACTTACTAGCATCTCCACACATCAGCCAAATCTAAGTTACGCCCCCAAGACTAAGTCTTGGGCTAGCGTCCCCCTTTCCATCAGTGGCACCCTCATTTACTCAGTTTTCCACTTTAAACACCTTGGGCACATCATTTCCACTGAGAGTTCTTTTAACAGGTTGATTATTGGATCCACCAAACATTTACTGAGATTCACCCAGAGAGCAGGTGTGGGGCCGGGCTCTAACCACTAGGGATTACCAAGACCAAGTCTTTAGCCTCGGAAACTCTCACTCTAGTGCCTTCTCTGTTTTCTGTTTTTAAAAATCTTTTCCAAGTCCCATTGTAACTGCAGAGCTGGCTTGAAATGGTCCTATCTTGTTTAACCAGACACTTAGCTGCTCTTCAGAGACAGGAGACCAAAACTGCAAGTCATGCAGCCGGAGCATGCGCAGAGGAGAGAACTTCAGCCTCCAGCTGCACCTGGGACCAAAGTCTCCTCCCCCTCCCTGCCCTGCCCTCCCACCCACACACAGAACTGAAGGACCAGGACAGG